TTCAACTCAGTATTATCTGAGAATGGTCAATTTACAAGAGGGCAAACAACTTTTTACAAGTTTTAAAAAGTAAAATTCTGATTTTATACAGAGCCCGCACCTCAGATCTCCATATATTTTCCATATTCAAAATAAGGAGAAAATGCGGACGGGAGTATTTGGACTAATTTTCCGCATTCATTCCAGATTTCCGTAGATTCAAATTTCCAGATTTTCTCCGTATTCAAAATATGGAGAAAATATGGATTTAATTTTTATTCTCTCCAGATTTCCGCATTTCCATATATAAAAAATATGGAGGTATTTACTTGATTGATAAAATGCGGGAATACAGAAATCTGGAGAAAATACGGAGTTAATCACATGGTTATAAATGGCTTAAAACTGCTACATGATGCATACATACATACATATTTACAAAACCATCAACAATGTGCAAAATTATGTACAATTTTTTATACCATTATGAGAAAAACATTTAAATGAATGAAAAATTTACACATTATGGACACGAGCAACGTATTGGATCTTATATCTTTGACAAACAAACAGAGGAGCATGTATGGAAAAAGTTTGAACTTTTATTAAGCCACAAATTCATCATGAAAAAAATAAGAATGTGGCATTTTTTTTGATATATATAAATTAAATGGAAATCTATTCATTCTATAAAAGCAAAAGTGGTAGTGAAAAGTTCAACACTTTTAGATATTGGGGGAAAAAATAACAATTGACATAGCTAGCATTGAATATTTACCAAAAAAAAGCAATTTTATAGACATTTTTATCGATCTGGATCACATTTGCCATTTTCTACCTGCATTTCTGATTCATATTTCTCACATTATTCAGTTTATATCTCTGATGTCTGTGCTTTACACCCATCTGTCCAATAAAAATTTTCTTCAGACTTCTTTGTAATTTGTAAGGTCACTGCATGTTTAATTTCTTGCAGCAGCACTTGCGGTCAAATTGGCAAATCCTATAAGTTAATAAAAAATACTTAAATTATGGTGCAATATTAATAAAATTTAAATTAATTGCTTTTATTCCTTTTATAATCTTTTTATAAACACAAGTTTGGGTTCTTCAATTTTATATCAATTTGACTGTTCTTAATTAAACAAGCAATTAAAAAGAAAAAAAAAAGAACATATATACGTCATACATAACCATCCATGAACCAGCTTTATTGAAGCCTGTTAAAATCGCAGTTAGTTGAATAACCACTTATACTTTTTCAGAAAATCTCCTCCTTTTGCACAGATGCTACCAAAATAAAATGTATGGTAAATCATTGCTAGAGATTACAGCCCATGGCTCCCCAAAATTAATTTAACACCTTTAGAAGTTCTATGAGCTGATTGAATAATTTGAATCATATACTGGGCATATTGGCTGAAACGAACGTAGCCTGGTAGCTCAGTCCTACGCCTAGAGCAATTTTATTTTCATCATCACTGACACACATTAAAAAAAATATGACTGACCTACTGTATATGAAATACGTGTATCTGCATCTATTGGTTGATACAGCAATACGATCTCAGGCTTCCTGGTCAACAAACCTCCTCTTCAAAACAGTGCAGACGTTACAACATGGAAGCCAAGGTCAAATTTTGGCGGTCTGTTGTTTATATTAATTGATCACTGAGCCCGACTTTTTGAAACGTTCTTTCGATCCCGATCAAATTGTACATAACATTTAGTAGAAACAGAGAACTGCTGAAGTCCGGAGCTCTGTATTTTTTCCAGATGAAAAATATTCTAAGTTAAGAGTTAAATATTTTTCCAGATGAAAAATAGACTAAGTCCAATTCTCCGTATTATTTCCGTATATTTTCCAGATTATTTCCGTATATTTTCTGCTTTTCCGTATGGTTAATTCTCTCTGTATTTTTTCCACATTTTTTCCATATTTAAAATGAAAAAAATTTAAATATTGGTGCGGGCGAGCACAAAAGTCAGACAGAGTTATATCATGTATATAACAACTAATTTTTAGACTTAAAACATGCAGTATAAAATCTTAGAGTTCCAAAAATTTAATGTCCTTGCACTTTAAATATTATGCACTTAAAATCATGCCCATGCACACATTCCAAAGCTGAATGCTGCAAGGATGAAGCCGATGCACAAAGTACAGTTTACTTGGGGGAATGCACAGGGGGCAATCACTTTATAAACTTGTATAAAATTTAATTACTTTCAAAAGATATATCACCATTGACATTTCCAAGACATCTATTTTTTAAATACTTAACATGATAATAAATTATAATACAATTATGCAACCACAATAAAAAAAAAAAGGCATTTCCCCATGAAAGATCTAATAGTATCAGCACTGACATTTCCCAGATACCTATTTTTGAGAAACTTATCATGACAATAAAATATATTAGTCTCACAGAAACGCCATAATAAACTGCATGTGATTAAACAGAGACACCACTAGTCTGACCCTACTGCAGTAAAACTCCATCATAATCGATCAACTACGTGCACATCTTTTTCTATCACCAAGTGACCAAATGACAAATACAACCCACAGGAAGGGTCTACTCTGGTCAACAATTGGTCATTTTATGTCCAGACTAAGACCGTTAATATCCATCGATCAATCTGGATCAATCAAACTTTTTTATCATTTCATGTCTGTGCAGTAAAAATAGCATTGCATATTGACCCAACAACATTTTCTTTTAGGTTTTCATAGAACTACAAGAGAAAAACTTTTCGACTGAAGCTGATATGATTGGAATTATATAATTATCTGCAATTAAACCATATTATTAATTAAATTTAAATTTAATTTTGCTCTGACATTCCTAAATTCTATAATTTGTTAGATGTTAATATTTTTTTTTCTTTATAACATGTAGCCTGAAACAAAACTTTTTAGTGTGAAAAATTGTATTTTTTTTCTTCTTTTATGTTCTGTCTTCTCATAGAAGTTTGCTGTATTAATTCAGATATGGGCAAATAACTATGGATGTGTTCAGCCATACAAAAATTCTTTGACAATTCAAAATGTTGCAATTTTTTCTTTACATGCATTTTTATTACGTAAGATGTATAACCTCAAAAAAGTAAGTTACATATGATTAACATGCTCCAGTTGGTAGTTATTTTCAGTGCTGTACAGGGCTCGACATTAACTTTTTTTCCTACTTGTGCATTCGGACAATTGACCAAGATATTTACTTGTCCGAACTTCAACTTCACTTGTCTGAAAATTTTTCTATGAATATCTTATCCTATCAACTTGAAAACAATTACTGAAATTAAAAAATTAAATGTGCGTGATTTATTAGTGTTGTTATTGATAAATAAGACAAACACATATAGAACAAAATTTTATCTAGACTTCTTGTCCTGACAACCATTTAAATGTTCGCAAGTGAATCTGTAATATCAGTCAAATATATTCCAAACTCGCATACCTCGTAAGATCCACACCATGCAATAGTATGGCTGCAATTAGTGAACATCGATCCCGATCAAGTGTGTAGCGATTGATATCGGGATCGAAATTCTGGTTTATTATGTACTGCTTCCGTTTTTATTTGATAAACTTTTCAATAGTTTTTTTTTATTTAATATTTGAAGACTTCTTTACATAAAAAATCACTTGTCCAATCGGTCAAGTGCCCAGCAATATTCACTTCCGTAATCTTTTTTCATTGGTACCGGACAAGCGGACAAGCGTTAATGTCGAGCCCTGTTGTAAGAGTTACTCCTTATGATTCAGGGGCTAACAAATCCCACTGCCCAATGCCCAGTGAGTTTTAAGGACGAGCAAGTGAAATTTTATCAACCACTTGCCCATAGGCAAGGGACGTTAAAAAATAAATCCAAATGCTAGTCATAGAATTAAAACTTGGCACAGAGGCTTGCATGTTATACTCCGTATCTGTCTGAAGTTCCATTTGTCAGTATTTTTCTTCCAGGTTTTTTTTAAAATATATTACATAAATATCATGAATATTGTAATGGTGGAGCAAGCAAATATTCAGGTAGGGCAAGTTAATTTTGACCATGACTTGCCCTTGGACAAATGCCTAAAAATTCTATTTGTCTGCCCCTGAGTGCCTGCGATTTCTTCAAAAAAAGTGAATTGCAAATGCATCTATTAACAACTGTGGTGAGGTCTTGTCCAAAAACTGAGAATATTCCAAATACCTTCCACTGGCAATTGGTGGGATCCCCATGAAGAATAAAAAGGATAAAAGATCTCGACTCCGAATCCAAAAATCCTATTTTGTAATGGGGGTGGGGTTTCATTTTGCTTTCACAACCGAATTTCTTAATATATTACAACATTAACCTTTCACTGAACATTTTCTATAGTAAAAACACTACAAAAATTTGGGACTTCCTTCTTTCTCTCTCTTTCTTGCCAAATCCAAAGAGGGGGGAGGGGATTGCAACCCCTGTAACCTCCTCTCTGGATCCATCACTGTACAAATTTAACAACCAACTAACATAACTATGAATATCAAATGGTCTTTTCACAGGTGAATTTGTTTGCCATACTCATCACGACATGTACACTGAGAATTTTAAAAATATACCAAAACATTAAAAAAAAAAAAAACAACAATAAGGTCCTAAAGACAAAGCACTTAAGCATCCATCAATTTATGAATTCAATATTGGGAGGAACTTTGTAAGCCAAAAGTCTCAAGAGCAATGCAAGGGAAATAACTCAGATGAGTAGAAAAAAAAACACACTATTGCTTTGTTTTTTACACACCTTAACTTTCAAACCCTTTATAAATTTGATTTCTTATTTCTTGTAATAAAATAAAAAAAATTCCCTAAAGCCAATTGACAACTTATTCTGAAGTCAACATAAGTTTGAAAGTTTTGTACAGATTCCCTTGACTTGTACTCTACCTGTGTATATTGTGTACATTCTAGAGTGTTTGTTGACATGTACACGAGGAGAGGATAAATTAGAAACAAAACCCGTTGACAATTCAAATAATTCTTACCTGGATTGTCTAACAGAAATCCTGTCAGCAAGTGAGGAGAAACTTTCTCCAAACAAGAGCAAAAATCGTGAAATGCTCCCAAGCCCCTCTTTCCCAAAATGTCCAGCAGGACCTCTGTTCGCTTCCGTGGATCACTGACGTCGAGCACCTGTCTCTCCTCGGACGTGGATATAACTTCTTTAGCCACTAAGTGAGGTAAAATCTTATTCGTGTCTAAATCTCGAACAAGGGAAGCTCTGTGACGGGCTAGGAGTCGCGAAACTCCTTGCTTCCCCGCCATCTTGAAAGTTTTGATTGTAAATTTATTTTTAAGATTGTTATTCTGAAATATTCCCCAAAACGAATATCAAAGAAAACTTTTTATTGCAATGATTTTATATCGCTTATGGGCTATGGTGCCTTGATATGTTTATGCAAGATATTTTTTAATTAATTAAAATACAACTTTTAAGAATAATAAAAAAAAACAAAATTTTTACCCTGCAGGTGCCCCAGGAAATTCGCAAAAACTTGGAAGTTATGCGCTTCTTAGGGTATTTCCATCCCCATTTGATGAGAACGATATTTGCAACATCTTTCAACAATTGAACAAGAGACATAAATTAAAAAAAAAATGTTCTTTGTGTTTCTGATTTTAAAAATTATATCAAAAATCCAATCTGAAAAGAAATGTCACTTTGATGCTCATCTACAGGGAACCTATATATATATATATATATATTTTTTTTTTTTTGTAACTTTACATTGCATTATTGAGTCAATCCAAAATACTGAATTTAAAAAAAATCCACGTGATAAAATTCATTTCTCTTAAATTAATATTCCTGATTTAGTTTTTGTGCAACAGACCTCTAAATGGATTGGAACCGAGGACCTCTTTCAGAGTTGTACGTTTGTTACAACGCACTTTGAAAAATTACGCACTTTGAAAAAAAATTTCAAAGTGCGTTAAAATTTGGGACCAAGCTAACGCACTTTGAAAAAAAAAAATTTTTCAAAGTGCGTTAATATCGACCATATTAACGCACTTTGAAAAATATGTAAAGATTGATCAATATTCCTTCAAATAATCGGTATGATAAATAACAGATCCAGTAAATGGTTTGATATTTTTTTTTTATGATAAAGTCACTATAGGACCTGAGATATTGACGTTTTAAATATCTAAGGTTTTGATAAAATAAAAATAAAGGGTCTTGAAAAATAGAGTGACGATTGTTTAAGTTCATTAATTCGTTTCTTCTTTATTTTTTAATTCTTGTCTTTGATAAGTAGATGTAAAGGTGTATAGGGGGCACTAACAGAGGACAGCTTCAAGCAACTTAGCATTTATCATAATAAAAAGGGACCAATTTGATTGTTCAAAACTATGAAAATTCTTTCTCTCCCATACGTTTTACTGTACTTAAAAATTTCTAGTTTTCATCTGTTTTAATTAACTCATTTATTATTGAAAGTTATTATTGAAAGTGTTCAACGTCATACATGTACCAGTTAGGTAAATATATAATTATATGAATGGTTAGAGTATAGCATAGACACCGAGACTTGGCGAAGGGCCAGAGGAGGGGATGTGGGGCTAAGCCCCCCCCCCCACCCCCACTTATTTTGGAAAGATATATACATCGTATAAGCATTAAAAATGCAGCGTACCCTTTTTAGGTTTATTGCTCGCCTCCCCCGTCTGTTACCGACATTTTTGTATTGGAAAGATAAAGATTTGGACCGAGGGATCTTATACCCGTCTTCTCCTCTTTTACGGGAGTAAATCAATTCATTTTTGAGGTTAGGGTTAGGCTTAGTTTTTTTAAAGATAAATAACAAATAAAATCTTTCCATGACTAAAAAATGATTTCTTTTTTCAAAGTGCGTTAAGTATCTCCATGGTAAAATATATTGATGTAGACTCTTAACGCACTTTGAAAATTTTTTTCAAAGTGCGTTGAGTTGGTCCCAAATTTAACGCACTTTGAAAAAATTTTTCAAAGTGCGTTGATTTTGTCCCAAAAATAACGCACTTTGAAAATTTTTTTCAAAGTGCGTAATTTTTTCAAAGTGCGTTGCCACATACGTTGTTCTTCTCTCAGACACCTCTGTAACAGACTCGAGTTAAAATCATTGACATAAGGTTAAAAACATCGATAGGTCAAGGATTATATTTCAAATTAAGGACAGATGATACAAACAATTTTTTTCTTTGAAAAACATTTAATATCATGTCACAAGTTTAGAAAAGCGGATGGTTCCTAGAAATTTTTCTGCGAAGAACTGGAAAATGAATTAGACTTGGAAAATATTAGTAATATTTCAATAAAAAAACAAATATAGACAAATCACATTCAGTAAAGGTTTACAGGTGAAAACAAATTTCAGAATATGTTACCTTGGTGCTAAAAGTGTAATATAAACTTTAGAAAAATATACCAAGCCAGGTGAATTTTAAGAGGAAGATCAAAATGACAAAAAATTAGCAATATCACATAGGCTGATTTTTACAATTTAGCTTTTCTTATAAAATTCACCTGGCTTGGTATATTTTTCTAAAGTTTATATCACACTTTTAGCACCATGGAAACATATTTTGAAATTTGTTTTCACCTGTAAACTTTTACTGAATGTGATTTGTCTATATTTGCTTTTTCATTGAAATATTACTAATATTTTCCAAGTCTTTTTCAAATTCCAGTTCTTAGGAGGAAAAATCCCAAGAACCATCCACTTTTCTAAACTTGTGACATGATATTAAATCTTTTTCAAAGAAATAATTTGTTTGTATCATCTGTCCTTAAACAAATATTTTCATATTTACTTAGTAAATATATAATAAGAAAACACACTCTTTTAATTCAAAACATCAGGTGCCATGGGGGAGAAAGCATACCTTATCGATCGCGGTCCTTTGCTCCTTCTTATGGACGGGTAAATGGAAAAATCTGAAGACAATTTAGCATGAAAATAATCTAATAATTTGTTACGAAAAACATTAATCAGCATTTGACTTAACGATAAATTGTATTTGATTTTTACAAGGTCATTATTAAATATTGACCATGGAATTGGCATTAAGATGTTAAGATGTTGACTTTAAACGAGACTGATGATATCTTTGTTTCATTGCCTTATTTGTCAGTAACCTGCCTTGTCTTGAAATTGACCGTTCACAAAGCATTCTGTTGCGTATCGAATCATTTGGAAGACATTAACTCCATACTCAGGTGAAAATGATATTAATATTGCTATATACATACATGTAAAGGAAATAAGTACTATTCTCAGTTAACCTTAGACTTTCAGTAAGGCGTGGCATTCTCGGCGCTACGTAATTAGCGTCTGTCATATGGGGAATTGATTCTCACTGGTTAAGAAATTAATAACATCAGGAACATCAGGAAATTGTTGTTGACAACGATGAGAGGACTTTGTTATTGGATATTTGCTACACTCGTTGTTGACATTTGTCCGAATTTTCTATCCCATGTATATTTTAACAGTGAATGAAAGCTTTGTAAATTTCAGACGCTAACTAGGTAACGCCCAGAATGCCACGCCTTACTGAAAGTTAACTGAGAATTGTACTAACCATGGAAAAGTTGAAGTCTTCACGCGTTTATCATGAAGGTTTAATTTCTCTTTAGGTTATCATTATAAGGTCTTTTTCTAGACAAAATTTCCAAATATGAAACAGACTCTTGGTGTTTTTATTTAAATTTCAAACAGAAACGTTATATCAAATCAACAAAGGGATCTCTATGAAAATGAACATTGTTGTTTTCGGATAAAATATCGTCGATATACCAAAATTTTGAATTGAGGGCCACGACGAGAGACTTTTTTTCACGAATAAGTTTTTGAATGCTGCTTCATGTGATTCCACAGCTAGATCTGATCTGCTTATAATTGAGCGCAACTGGTACCCATTGGAATTCCGACAGATTGTTTGAAGACTTGATCTCCAAAAACTGCAAAGATATTGTTGTTGCAAATGACCAATGGCAAGGTACACGTAAGTAAATTTATAAGTTTAATTTTATTGAAAAAACTGTTGTTATTGATGTCAAAAAGCCTTGATTTTAATTGCGGGGAATGCTTGTGTATAAAGTGTTAAAAGACGTTTGTTTTGATGTTATTGATCCTGGCAAAATTTACTGTTTACACTTTTTTGTAAGATTTCTTGCGAGTTTTTAGTTAGTCTTAACTTCTCAAATATATTGTTGGTTTGTACCAAGCTTTTCTTTGTAAGGATTTTATATATTGTATATTTTATAGGAATTCAATATTGGTAAGAATTTTTACCTAACAAAGGGACCTATTTGGGTATACGTTGGATTTCCACTTAATTGCAAAATCAAATCCAAGTTCAATTAAAATAAAATTGAAATGAAATTATATTCATAGCATCAAAATGTCACAAAGATTTTTCTGCAAAATATTTTCCAAATTTTCTACAAAATGAATGTCATGTGAAAAGAAAACACATCGAGAACAGGATTGATAATTCATTGTAAATAGAATTTGTTTTCTCCAAATCATGCTCTGCGATACGGTTCTCATTATTTTGCAGCTGTCATTTATATGTAAATAAATATACATTCTGCGGACATACATTTTTTTTTAGCTCTTCGGCATCGTTTGAAGCAACTTCAGTTAAGGGGAGGGGGGTGGGGGCAAAAAGTTTTCAGTTCGGGTACCAGCAACTACGAAAAATTCCATGACAAGCAAAAAAGGGTCATTTTTATAGTATTCTATACATCGGGAAAATTGTTAGGAAGGGGCCGCCCCTCCCCTCTTTCCCGGTTCCTACGGCCATGCTTTTTTCAAGGAATTTCGAACTCCTTTTTTCTTTTGGAATGGCTCTACTGCTTAATTGACTGATTTGAATTTTCCCAGAAGCAAGCATGGCCAGGACCCGTAATTATAGCTGAACACTTACTCATACGCTGATGGCCTATAACAGTTATCCTGTCATAAACGTTAAGTTAAAATCTATGATTAGTAGAATAGAACCATTAAACAAATAAAGATCATCTGTAGTTTTACAAACAGTACATATTTGAATAAAATACCGAACGAACATTTATATTCAAAACAAAAATATAAAGTCCCGGGTTTCAGTATAGAACAACGAGGGATCTATAGTCAAGATGCAAGTGCATTTGGCTAGTATCAACGCAAACTCACAATATCTGAGCAGAACAAAATATATAAAATATGAAATTCAAATAAACTGATTGCAAACAAGGGATAAAGGTAGTGAATGTCAATCCCGAATTATATATATTT